AGCGAATGGATGGATGGATGGATGAGCACAAAATTTCACAAAGAGAAAACAAAGACTGAGAAATTGCTTTTCAACTTTTTTGGATCTTAGGCCACAAATAGATTTTCAGTGTGTGAACCCACAGTTGCCTCCAGCATTTTCCTCTGTTTGTGCCTTGTTTTGGCACCTATTTCAGGGATACTGTGGGTGGTGCACAGGGCCTTGGTTTTCTCATACAGCTCTGTGGTAAATGCATCTGAGTGTTTGCCCTTAAGTGTGTCACACACAGCTTGTTTGCGGATAAAAGCTTCTGCCAGATCTAAAGTCTCTTTCTGCAGGAACTTGTGGAGTTCTTTGGTTACAGACAGACGTGATTGAAACATCTGTTTCATAGAACTGGCTGATTATACCATTTAAAGAGCTGACTTAAGATCTCAGTGTATAACTTCAGGGGTCCAACAAAACAATGGCCATGCATGTTCTTTAAGTTTTATTTATCTTTCTCTTTTCTTCAGTGTGAAAACCATAGAAAAGACTAAATGTTTACAACATAAATATCTGAGACCTTTTAAAATCTCACATTAGTGTATAAAAACTGAAAATAGCAACACAAACACATGTATATCACATTATATACATTAAACACTGTCAATGGAAAATTGTACTTAGTAGTCAGTATAATCTTTTAATGATATAAGTTTGCATATGGTAGAATACTGCATGTAATCATTTGTGTTTAGAAGTATATAGTTGGTGGCATATTGAAAGAATGTCTCATCCTAGGAAGTCTGTAACATTCCAGGGTGTTCTGGCATTCACCCCCACATCCTAGGAGTATGGGAGAGGTCGTACCTTGTCTTATTGTTTTACAGTAGGATTAACGTAGTTATATCTGTTTTAGTCTAAGTGCTTTTTGTTTAGATGAACTGCTGGACTTTCCAGACCAGCAGGTTTAGGGAAGTCATTTATGGGATCACACTCTGACCCCCCCCCACACACACGTACACCTCCACATTTCAATGTATGGAACAAACGCTCACTGAAGCATATAAATAAAGACCAGGGCAGTACTCAGTGCTTAATCTCTGAGCCTCACTCTTGGTGTGTGAGCTCAGGAGGCTGCCCTTGCTAGCAAGAAAATCTGTGTGTTTCTCCTCTCTGATTCTCTGCTGAAGAAGTGTTTTAGAATATATCTCTTAACAAACACAAAGATCATTTATGTATGCATGTTACGGTTCAACGTGGGGGACTCAAGCGCAGGACTCCAGAATCAGCTGAGCACAACAATTTATTTACAGAGTTCACCAGGTGTATATACAGGAAGTGCAGGGCAGTGCCATATACAGCAATGTAGGGGACGGGGCTCCAGGGAAATCCAAAGGGGGAATCACTCGTTCTCCAACTCTCCACACTCACGACCGCAGTTCCTTTCTCCACACTTGACACAAAGATTCACACAGGGAAGGCTATCCAGGAGGTCTGTAGGCGAGGAAGCGAGAATGAGTTACAACGTTCACAATAGGGCTGCCCCAAACTATTATTTTGCGAGTCGACTAGTCACCAATTATTTTTGCGATTAGTCGACCAATCAGATCATGCATCCATGGGACGTAAAACGTACAGCTTATTGCACCAGCATGCATCTGCTCTTACATAACTATCATTAGCTTACAGCTTTAAGTGTTTAAGGTATGTGCTAACTAAAAATAAAGACAAGATGATAGTTTATTAAATTTTAATGAAAT